CCCAACCCCCCTTTTCAACTTCAACAATACCGCCTCACTACACGTGACTGCCTTATTCTTGCGTTTTATGACAAATCGAAACTGGTCTTGCGCCCCCTGCCCACGACAATCACCTGCACAAATAACAACAACTTCTCACTTATTCCCTTGCGTATTTTAGGCCAAGTACCATAAAGTTGAGGGTGCGGTGGCGGAGCGGTTAGTGCTCTCGTCTCCGAAGCGGAAAGTCCGGGTTCGAGCCTCGGTTCGGACACGGATTTACTTTCGCCCCCTCCTGCAGGAACTGGCCACCCTACCTCAATATGCCGAAGGCCCAGGACGTTGTCTCACTGACAAGGCAATCCCCAATGTCCGGATCGGAAGCCGGAGCAACTTTACTATGCCATGCCATAAAGTTACTCTTCAAGACGTCCACCTTGGACAGGCATTTCCTCCCTGACAATGGGCAGCTGTCTAGGACAATTCCAACTGTACCCTACTTCAGAACACACCGATATACCTCAAAGTAATGATAACAATGGATGTAATGTAATTATTATGTCACACACAGGTACTGAAACCAGTCCATTGGAAATAAAGATGTGCATTATTCAGAAGTCCGTACGTCGTGTTTTACTATCGTATCCATACGACGTGGGGAACTCTGTGCCACCACTTTCCAAAGAGAAAATTACTGTACTCGTTAATCCGATCTGTACCCTTAGCATTGCAGTTTGTCAAAATGATTTTTTTGAGAAATACTGAAAGTTTCAAAGAGATCTTCGTACTAGAAGTAATCTAAAATGTTAAGAATACAACCCCGGGGGTACAAAATGACCCCAGGGCGTACGGATATGGTTTTAAAAAAATTAACGGGCTGTTCATCGCAGTACGCCGTAACTGTATACAATGACTATTGTAAAGGATTAAAGACATACACGTCCTGCTGATTTCCAATCAGTTTCGAGGAAATGAACGATCAGATTGTTAGATTGTATCAAGGCGAATACTCTCTCTCTCTCTCTCTCTCTCTCTCTCTCTCTCTCTCTCTCTCTCTCTCTCTCTGTG